AATTGCAATGCAATTTGCCCTTTGGCAACTGATACCTTTAAGACATCGACACCTTGGCAATTCACCTGAAGTTTTAATCAAATATAATAGTAATAAGTACTGCCAGGACACAGACAAACACATAAAAAATTCAATAGTTTAATTACAAAATTGCAATTAACGAATCAAACAACTTCATGGGCATTCCAAAGAGACCAATGTAATGTATTAATAAATAACGTGTTAAATTTAATGAAGACTTTAATATTAGAGCCAAATATATAGAAAAATATCACCCATTAAAGAAGTTTTGTGGATCACCCAACTGAGTGTCATACAAAGAGTTATAGGCGTAGAAATAGTAGCTTAAAATACATACCCAAGTAATATTTAGAACATTATAATTATGTATTATTTCAGTTATGTCTTCTAATATTAGTAAAATATATTTGACATTTATTATATAAGATAACATCCTCTAAATACAATTTATATTTCCTTCTCTATTAAACGTTAAAAAGAAGCCGTAATTCTACAACCTTTTAAGTTTGGGCCTCATATTTCTATCATATCTTTTTTTTATGGCTCTGGCACGGTTTGTGCATTAGCCAGCGTCAAGTATAAGATTTTTATAATTCGTGCTTTTGCCTTAGAAATTCGACCGTGTCCTCCATGTACGGTTTAGGTACTCGCCCGGTACCGCACAACCCTCCCAAAGGCCGAGAACAAATTTAAATTAAATTAAAACTTGCCCTCGAACCGGGAATCGAACCCAGTACCCCTCACCTAGCTGCCTATTATATATTTCTATGTTTCGCGATCATTTATTTTTCTGATTAGACAACTAGGTCAGTCGTGCCTGATGCATGCCGGTGTCCTCATATTCCTTTATGCCACATAGAAGTCCATTGGTGCACAGCCAGTAATGGAACTACGACCTTGGATGTGAAAAACACTGCTCGTATTAAATGTTTAAAGGTATTTCATTTATTCATTTATTTATTTATTTCGTAATCCTACAGCTAACATAAATTATATATAATAACAAACAGATACACTGAAAATATAGCCAGAGATGGAATACATAATACATTTTACTACAAAAAGGTTAAAAAATCTACAGAATCAAACAAACAACAAAAAAAAAAAATATTCTATACATTCAACTAAATAATACCTAATTTGGCTGTGTTGTGTGATGGTGTAAGAGTGAGTGTAAGTACGTGAAGGTGTGTATGTGGGGTATGCTTATGATGCAGGTGATTTTGCGCTATGGATATTCTTAATACTCCTTTTAATCATATTCCGCGACAGCTTAAACAGGTCAAGGCTTAAATATTGGTCGTTGTATGTCCGGGCTGCGCGATATAAAACTGAGTTTTTTGCATAGTTAGTGTTAATGTGAGGAACATGAAACAAAGCACGCTTACGAGTCTGGTAGGCAGGAACAAGGAAGGGCAATTTTTCTAGAAGGGAGCTACAATTAATTTTATTTGAGATGATGTCATGTAGTAGCAATAAATCATATTGTTTTCGTCGACAGTCTAAAGTATTAATTTTAAAATGTTCACACGCGTCTTTATATGTATTAAACTTATTGTAGGTCTTATAGGAGATAAATTTTATGAAGTCTTTTTGGATCTTTTAAATTTTTTTCTTTGTGTACAGTGTAACTAGGTGACCAAACCGAGCAACCATATTCGAGAATACTTCTTACATATGTATAGTATAGCACTTTCATACAGTCGACATCATGAAAATGTTCAATAACACGTCTTACAAAACCAAGCTGCTTATAGGCCTTGTCAACTATTGAGTGGTATATTTCCTTCCTTTTCCCAAAAGTATATATGTATCTTGAATCAATATACTTTCCAATTATTCATCATATCTTATGCTTCCACAGGGATTTCGCATGCGCCCTCGTGCGTACTTGGCTACAAGCTCTACAAAACAAAAACATGCTTGTTTATGTTTTAAATCATGCCTTCAATTCTTGGCCCACTTCCAAATCGACTGAGTGCCGTTCTATAATACTTTGGATGTTGGTTTTATAAAACTGAGCCTAAATTTTAGCCATCTCACCCAAAAAGGCCGATATAGTTAGGGAATGATTTGTCAATTTTTTTTAATGTGGCACGGATTTGTATAAGGGCTAAATCAATTGCTTTGCGTTTATATCTCATAATTCGTGAGAGAAAATATTAAAATTTGTCACGTATACCTAACAAATAATAGTTTAGATATTTATTAAAACTGAATACGCTAATTTACGCTACTTTATGTAGGGATACAACTATTAGTCACGTACCAAAGCATATACTGGGTTATTGGTAATTCGAAGTATTCTCGTTAGGAGGTGATAGGGGTGACTATTTGGAATAATTTTAACCCACCAATGCACGATCCAAAACTGAATATATTTCGAGTTATCATATTTTTCGTTATAACTATTTAATTCAACATCAAATTTTAAAAAGTTTCAATTTAAATCGCATAATTTCTTGTAATTTTTTAAAACGATAGTTACGCACTATATAGGGACGTCCTGGTGTGGGATCTAGCGATATTTAAATTTTGTCATAAATAAAGTTTTTTTTTATTATTATTTATAAAACAACAAATATATTATGTTAAAATTAGAGAACAAACATTGCATTACAAAAATACTTCTTATCGGCTATAAGAGTTAATTTTTTCGTTACCAATATGACAATATTAAATTACAGAACGCGCACAAAACCGATATCAAATTAAACCTACATATTCAATAAGGGAATAATTAAATTTATAGTTTAAAATTTATCGTAATGTCATAATAGTAATGGATAACAAAGAACATTTATTAAACTTCATTCATTCGAAAATAATAACTATTACGCGAACAAAAGGTTCACTGAATTCCACACTTGTGGCAATCTTTGGTATAAAGTTTAATAGTCATTTAAATTTTGATGTTCATTGAACACATTTTGACGTCTAAATGTATTTCCTATCTTATAAATTAAATTAAAAATAAGAGAATAATAAGAAATCTGCATTTTAGAGGCTTTAACGTTTATTTCATTAAGAATATTACAAAATATATTAACTAATTGTGTAATACACAAGAAAAAAATAAAAAAGTATAATAGTGGGCTAGAAACAGAAGACTTATTACATAGAAACACAATTACAAATTAGAAAAAAATTAAGATTATACAATCAGAGATGTGACGGTATTTAAAAATTGTTAACCTAATAAGGCGAAGTAACAATGGAACAGTCTTGCTAGTTAGTACATGGTACATATGTAGGTTCAAATGTTCAATCAAAGCTAGATTCCTGTTATGTCGAAATAATAAGTAACACTTCAGAAAAAAAATTAGGAAATAAATTAGTACTAAAAACTATTTGGTAATATTAAATTAGTACATGCTTAAAAAAATATCTCAGGATCTTTTAAAGTGAAATTTACACATTTCGTTAAGCTTTTACAAGATTAATAAAATATTTAAATGTAGATAAAGTTTGAGAATTTCCGAAAATATAAATTCAAATTACCGACTTTTTTTAATAATATATAATAAAATAATATAAATTTTCAGTAGGTCAGAAGTTTCCATTCAAGTGAATGAAATACGATGCCTTTTTGTAATTTCAAATAACGTAGACATGCTGCTGGTTTCCGCACGTTGAATTACGAGTTTTAGTTTATTTACTTTTGTTACGATTTTAGTTACTAAGAATAATTTAGGTCTAGTGATGGGCTTTACGATATCGGTTTCTATAGTTTAAGGTTTATAAACTTTTCAGATTTAAGCATATGATGATATAAAGCAGTTGTGCCGCGGGTATGCGTGTCGCATTACCCCATTAAAAAAAGGGGAGCCCACAATATGGCGGAATTGTCAATCGCGCCTACAATATTTTAGACAGAACCACGGCCGCTGTATTTCAATGTTAAGTGTATGTTAGTTAGTTATACGCATTAGAGAAAACTCTTTGGCGATAATAAATTTTTTGCCTTCTGCTTTTTAATAAATTTAAGAAATGTGTTAAAGAAAGGCTGTGTAAAAAGGCTTACTATAAAGTTAACGATTATCTAGTTGATAAAAGGGCCTGGGACTAATGCTAGACAGGCTACTTCTAATTAATTTGCGATATTTGTTTTAAAATAAGTGTTGTTTGATGATTTGCTATTTTAAAAGAATACCGAGAGTTTTTTACGACGGCTTTTCCTCTCGGCCTACACCCTCCGTCTTCTTTGCCGATGAGTAGGGATGCCTACAAATTCAAATTTAATGACGTGGAATAAGTGATACATGTATGTTATGTTCCATTATAAACATATTTTATTTTATGATACACGATTCGATATTCAAAATTAATTTTACTATGATTTTTTCTACATTAAATAACACTTATTAAGTAGACTGCTTCACGCAACGAACTGACCAACATAATAGAAGCCAACAGTATATATTTAGTTTTTAGTTACCTACTACCGTGGTTATGATTGTAATATTTTTCCACTACATTACAGTTCAATATGCATAAAATCATCGTTTGATTGTTAACTAGCTATTACAAAAAAAACGTAAAACTTAGTATGTATATAATTTATCGATTTCTATAAAATATTTAGTACATCATTAGCTCACTGTAGAACAGCATTTTATTTCAAGCTATTTTTGTTTTTCTCTTCCCACTTGTTTCCTTGAGATTTCGATCAGATAAATTTATGTAATATGTTTCGCATGTTATTGTTAGCTCTTCTAAACAAATTGTAATTTTCCCTTCGTTATATTTTGTTAATCAAATTTGTAGAATTGATTCGTCTTATTATAACTTGAGACTTTAGGGAAAATTCTTTATTCAGTTTATTTTCTGAACTCATTTATAATTGTAATCCGCGATTTCATATACAAGCACTAAGCATTTTTTTATTCAATATTCACGTCATAAATTTATGGATTATTTTCCATATACTGGTGCGTACGGTGTAAGAAAAAGAAAACTGCTTTATCTAAGAATTAAAAATGGACGACGTGAGTCAGGCACGGAAGGAAGAGTTATCACTTAAAATAATATCCAAGAAACCGCTCATGGTATAATTCGCTATCTTTTATACTACACATAATGACGGTATTCAAAATAAAAATGTTAAAAGCAAAACATAATAGTTCAGCGAATGTCACAATATGAATAGCAAACTTTTCTCAGCAAAATAATGCCATCCAACATAATCCGAAGAACTCTCAGGAGTCGAGTGTTCATCTCGAAGTAGATGGAGTAATTACCTTCGACGCTCGTTCCAATGAAAAAGAAACTTGTGGGAACAGCCACGGTGAAGTTTAAAGAAAAACAATGGTTTTCATAAAATAAAGATAAGTTTAGCAAGTTTGCTGTTCTTTAACACTCGATATTGTTAAGACGAAAAGGAATTCCATATTTGAAATAAAACAATTTAACAACCTTCACACTGAGGACTTTAGACATCTCTGTTACCATGGTTACGATATTGAACATAGCCGTAGGTAGAAGATTATAATTTAATTATTTATACAGTAACAGATCAATCATAGACTTTTGTATAGAATATAAAATACCTTGTATTCAAATATAATTTACCAAATTTATTCAGTTCGTAAAGCTACAGTTGCGGCAAAAGCATTTTTAAGCACTAACTGCAGTTGCATTATCTTCCAATTGTGACATACTAGTTAATGATCTATGATCAAGAGAAATGGTTCGATTTATTTTTATCATTTTACTTACAACTAATACTGTTTAAATAAACTTCTTACTTTCTATATAAAAGTATTTGATTAAAAAAACAACAGTGGCGCTACAACCTGTGGGATTCAGTTTTCTCTATATTTCTATCTTTTTTTTATATATTATAGGGCGGCACTTCTAAAAAGGGCAGTTGTTGCAGCCCATGGACACCCATTTATAGTGGGTGCGTTGCCGGCCTTTGAGGGATTAGTACACTCAACTTTGAATAGTTGGAGGTCGTATCTCTCAGGGAAAACCCCCACCGGGAGTTAATTCCACAGTTCGCTAGTTCATGATCACTATCGTTTTCCTCGTGCTTTTTTCCTTCATTGTGTTAAATGGGGACACAGATTCAAAAGTCCATTGGTGTAGAGACGGGGCTTGAACCTGCAAGGTACGTTCAATCTACCAAGTCAACACAGTTCTCACTATAATCTCTATAGTTCAGTCTTACTTATACTTATAATATTTAAATTAAAATTTATATACTATCTCTTCTTCACAGCTAAAATAAAATTTGATTGAAAAAGATGGATGACCTACTTTAGTCAAATATAGCGGTAGAACCCAGGAGCGAAAACTGCTATGGAAGGAAGGCCAATTAAAAAAAAGGGTGCGTGTACTTATATACGCACGTAAGAAGTTCTTTGGCATTATTAAAAATATTTTTTTGATTCCATGCAAATAATTAATTACAATTAAATAATCAAAGACTGGAAAAGGAGTCATTATAGTCAATAAAGTTCAGTTTACATTTGAAAAATTAAATTAATAAATATTTATTATTATTCTCTTACATTAAGTGTAACATAAATTCTACTATTATTCGAATGTTGTTTTTAAATTATGTCCAATGCCGTAGCATCTTCCGTGGGCAACTTCATTCTGTTAATTTTGTGTCACGGTGCGCGCGCATCGTAAAATTTCACTCCCAACAATTTTTCATAACGTGCCTAAAGAAGTATAACTTCAAAAATTGTGATAAGTTCTCTCCATAGACCGAAATCCTCGCATTTGTCAGCGGAGGTCTGGGATAAAAAATCTAAGGTCCCTTTCTAAGATAACATTTATAGGTTACTTACTTATATTAGTGACATTACGATCATTCCTATTGGATTTCTTGATCAAATTTGTCATTAGATGCGCCGTAGTGTTTAGGTTTTTTCTACTAAAAGCCACGAAAAATCTGGCGAAGTTAAGCCGAGAATGCCAATTATTTGTCCTTAAATCTGTATGTCCAGATGTCTACTTAAAGATGTGAAGAAAATAGCCGAAAATGTGAAACAAACATCCAATACATCCCGTCAACAATCTCAAGTTACCTCAAGTAAAAGCCTTTACCCACGCATGCAGCCTGTGGACGGAGATAAAACTCGGCTAATACATTGTCCGCCACATAAACCGTGTTTTATTTTACTCGGTTCCTCGTTAGTTTTCTTAACAACACTTTGTAAAGAAAAGTAAATAGTCAAATAATTTTCTCTTTTCTCTGAAAGTACCTGCACGTGTATTGTGTAGTACATTACAGTGTTTTGTTTAATTTTCAAAATTGCGTTATTTTTTCTGTATCTTGAGCGTTCATTGAACATTACAATCTAGCGGTAATCATTCTTAACACGAGAAAGTGTCCAATAACACTAATTACAGTAATTAATATATATTATTATTTATATGCTATTAGTTATAACTAAATATATATATAAAGATTAGGTTTAATAATAAGTTATAACCGTTAACCTATTCATTTTTATTTCTTCTGATTGTTATGCTCTAACGAAACTAAGAGCGCATAAGTAAACGGGGAATCCTCGAACCTCATTACAGTAATTAAGGCTGAGATTTTTCACTCGCACTGGGCCCTTGACCGAGTGCACCGTACACGTGTATGTGAAGTTAGCAGAGTACTTATCAGCAGAGCACAGAAACAATAAAGTTCTTGTTGCACACACAATAGTTCCTGATAGGTTTTAGAAAGAGTTCTGGATATTTAGTATAAAGTCAGAAAAGTGCTCATTATTTTATTCTTACTCTTCTATATTTATTGTTTATTCATAGAAATTGTAGGGAACTTTTTTTATGAACTGATTTAATTTGTATGTATGTGTTATTTTAATGAGAACTTATTTTTCGAAATCCAGAAGAAATGCTCTGCTGTGATCAGGAACCTGACACACCATTTAACGCTTTTAACACTGTTCTTTTTACTATGACATAGATTTAATTTAAATATATGTAAATATAAATGTTGTATTATCTCAGCGTTCAAGTCATGACATATGTAAAAAAACAATTTATAAACAATTATCCAAGCGTCTTAGGATGATGAGAGTTACATCGCGTTAAAAAATTAAGACAAGATAACGCTTTGTACAACGCTATTTCATTCATTAGTCCTCAAAGAGGTTCCAGTTTAATTAAAATAAAGAAAGAGAATTTTAGTTGTGTATTTAAATTTTAACGGAAATAACGTTAATTCATTTCATAGAATTTTTTATCTCGTTAGTAACAGTGTTTATGACAAAAAACATATTGGTTTTTGACATACGGAAACGCACTTAATCAATAAATACAGACCCAATAGTAATAAATGAGTCAATAATGTACAGTTATATATTTTATTATATGAATTAATTAAATAAAAATCTTTAATTGGTGCATTCTGAAGTCCGATTTTTTTTTAATGATTTATTAGTTATATTTTCAACTATGTAGGTACAATAAAGTTTGAGACCAATCTAAAAAAATAAACACCTATGCTGCTTGCTTCGAAATTATTATAAGGTAGAATTTAAAAGAAGAAATCTCGTTTATTAGAAAGAAATCAATGAATTTCGTTTATTATATGGTTCACAAAAAACAAATTAGTTTTGCAAAGATAACAAATTTAATAGCGTAGTATACTTTTCAAATTCGAAGTTCGAAATTTTCAGTTCTGCTTACAGTTCCCGTTCCCGTTGTTATGTATTTGAAAGATTGCGTTCGTGATTAACAATACTAACTCTGAGTTCATAGGTGCATATAATTTATATAGTAAGGTCACACCCATTATGAAGATCTCGTGAATAGCATACGAGGGTCTCAATGCAACTCCAATCGCGTTATTAACACAAACAATAGCCAGCTGACCCATTTTATTTCAGCGCTTGTACTTCATTTGAGGTGGTATTGTGACCACATATAAGATTAAAGATAGGATTTATAACAATGTATGAAATTGAGAAGGTATTTATGAGGGAATATTTTACCAAAATGTCATTTAACTTCAGACCTTCATTTAAACGTGAATTTCCGATTTTATCAAAAATATTTTTACTTGCTAGCAAACAATATGATTATATAATTTATTATTCTCTCAAATTGTAAAATTCTAATATAAAAATATAATATAAGAAAGTTTTTTTTCCGCTAGTAACACATTTTTGAGTAATATTTTGTTTTATAGAGCCCGCCATGTCTATAGCAAACTTAGTTTATACCAATTTTTATTATTATCTATGGCAGTACGGTCTGCACCAAGATTTTCCATTTCTACGCTCTATTTTGAGTTTTGTAGTTACACGTTTTTATTCTTCAATCTAAATGTCTCACTGTAGTAAATGAGAAAAAATGATATAGACTGAGATTTTTTTTGACGTCCAAATTAAGAATTATGTTACAAATAATGCTATCAGGAATATATTATGGTATGATTTCTTTATCTAATTAAATGCGTACTTTTCGGAAACCATGCTAGATATTAGTGTGGGTGTTGTCTCAATTTAAACTGTGTAGAAATTTAATAAACTTCCTTATAATTTAATTAAAGTATAATCTAAATAATAAACCACATATTAAAATATATTAATACAGAATGCAGGCGCTAAAAAAATAGACTATTAGTTTTTTTCCACTTGATAAATCTATATAACAAAGCTACTATCAAATTCAGTCCCATACGAAATAAAACTTAATAATCAACCTCTAGAATACGTTGAAGAGTACATTTATCTGGGGCAAATTATCTCTCTAACTGATATAACCACCAAAGAGATCAAAAGAAGAATAGCAAATGGATGGAAAAGATATTGGTCACTGAGGGAGATCATGAAAACAACAGATTTCAGCAAAAAAATAAAGAGAAAAGTCTTTAACACATGTATCCTACCCTGCCTTACCTATGGCTGCGAAACTTGGGCACTATCTAACCAGCACAGGGATATGATAGCACACTGCCAAAGAGCCATGGAAAGAAGCATGCTGAGCATAAGAAAATTAGATAAACAAATAAACTCAGACATAAGAGCTAGAACAGGTGTGACAGACATTCTCACTAAGATCGACCAAATGAAATGGAGATGGACGGGTCATATGCTACGGAGCCCTCATGAAAAATGGAGCAAAATTGTGACGGAATGGTACCCTAGAGACGGAAAACGAAGAAGAGGTCGACCACGCAAGAGATGGGAGGACGAACTGAAACTTACAGCAGGCTACAACTGGAGAAGAGTCGCAAAAGATAGAGAACAGTGGAAAGGGTTAGAGGAGGCCTTTGCCAAGAGGCAAACCGAACTCCGAGATATACTGGAGTGAAAATATATTAA